CCTGTAATTTGGCGAATGTTCTAGTTCTTACTAGATATAGGGTAGGCTGGTATATAAAAGAGGGGAATGTAATGTGTGGGTAGATATGGTATAATTGAACTGCAGTCAGAGAGAGACGTATTGTTGAAGTTAACGTTCGGTTACGTCTCCGTTTGTTAATTAACTTTCCGTAACTTCGTTCCGACGAAACTTTAACGACACAAGTTTTTACTTAATAAAACTGGTTTATTCTTTCCGAATATAACTCTGCGATACACTTAATCTCAATACTCGCGCTAAAACAAACGCTATAAAAACAATATTTATAGCCGTGGGAAGGTTTTCTAGAAAATTCAGTCTTATGTAATAATACTGGTTAAAGTGTTTACGTATATAGATATTTTGTTGATTCTTACTCTCGAGAATCTTCTACATTTGGAGAATAGGCGGGTGTTTCGCAATACCTATCTAACAGTATAAGCTATGTATGTTACTAAATATTAACTTAATTTAAACAACGTTCATATTAAAATAAATACATAACAACAAATTCGTTACAACTTTTAGATAATTTTTGAGAAGAGAAATGCCAATTCATCGTTTTACTCACCCCTGTACACTTGTACGCAATGTATCGCCCTCTTGAATGCAGATAGGTGCTCATTCTCTTCATTTGTCATTTATCCATTATTAGAAAATAGTGGTTCAGTGATTATGAAGTGAAATTATTGACGGATCATGGTGTTACTGTTAGGTATTAGGACATTGTGAATTAATGTGTTCAAACAAAATGTGCTTATTTTGCGGACAACTTGAAAGCTCTCAAATACCTTTAATTTTAAACAAGTTATCACCATTTTGATATTCAACTTCAAGGTAAGGGATGTAGGAATGGTAAAGACTACAACTACAACTGTATTTGTATAGCTGAACGATGTTTTCCTGATAACAATGACATTGAAAGCTTGTGACGTTGTAATGTAAGTAATTCCTCTCTCCTACTCATCAGTATTGATCATACTCCAGTTAATAGAAGTACACATAGACACAATTCAAGTAGTTCCACAGAAGTTCGCCAAACTTCTTTACTGTTTGCAGAACACTTTTTAAAATCATAATACATACTATAGTCACGTTTGCCTTAAATATATTGTACTTCAATATGTAAAGAAACAAATCTCTTGACTTAGCCCTTTCAAAGTTTTATTACTTAATATAGTGTTGTTATTTTATAAAGTTAGCTTTCAGAATTGTACTGTAAATACATTAATTTAATTTTGATATTAGTTTTAAAACTTTAACTGGCATACAAAGCGGATAATTTTTATAGAGATAAATTGGGCCCAAGTTTATAAAAAATCTAGATGTTTGTCATGATACTTGTATTTGTAATGCTTACATGATTATACATCCCAGTCTCAAGTGTAGGTAAAAGTTAACACTTCAGAAAACGTGTGGCTTGTGATAAGTCAAATATTGCAGGTATAGTTTCAGACTTGTGTGACCTTGATCCAGTTGATAAAGATCAGAAGAAATTATGACTAATTTTGTATAACCTTCAAGTTACAAATACTTCCCTTGTTTGATGTGGCAGAAATGGAAGGAAAGGAAATTCAGACAGTTGAAAAATAACTGAAATATAAGTCATATCTATAAAACAAGCAGCATGATCTGGATCGATATTATTTTAACATATATGAATATTTATAATATGTTAACTGGAAATCAAATAATCAAGTGAAGATTTGATTCCTTGATATGTCTGACCTCTATATTTGTGAGCTACTGTCATTTTCTTTGTTCAAATAAGACAAGGTCACCTTGTTTTGAACTAACTGTCTTTTTTATTTATTTATATGATTTGTACATTGGTAAACAACACCAAAGTTTATCATGGTTAATTGATGAATTGTGAATACTTTGTCTGGGGCATACATTTTAGTTTTATTGCAGCAAATAGACACCAGAAAATGGTGTCACCATGATGGAACCCCTTGTAGGTTATTAGGCAATGATATTAATAATAAGGTAGCTTTTTTTTTGTTTCACACAAGAACCAGTTTCAGCCTGTTGAACTGGAAGGTCTCAAATGGAAAAGTAGGGGAGTTAAACCTGTATGGGCTTTAGTTAGTGGATTGTAGGGTAGAAAATAGGCTAATTGGAAATTGTTATAAATAAACCATCAGGCCAGATACAGGAAAATACTGAGCAACTTTTGAACAAGACTATTATTGCAACTCACTTTCTTCTTTCTTTTCTGTTCTGTTTTTTTTTTTTTTTTTTTTTTAAAAAAGAGATTTTTGCCGGAT